TATATATATATATATATATATATATATATATATATATATAATTCCGTTTGCGCTGTATGACTGTTGCCGCGATTCGACCAAATCAGACAACCTGATCGATTATTCTGTACAGTATAGATATCCATCACTCTGGACTGGTTCGATTTGTGTGCATTGATTGTCTCAGCTAATCATTTGTAGTAGTGAATAGTTAGTATATAGATGTGATTATCAAATACGTATACCACTTGATAGGCAGCAGTCAGTGCGAAACACGTCATGTGTTTCTAGGGGCATTTTGTTCAGTCATTCGCATACCGCTTATTGGCCTCCGAAAGCCTCATTATGGTCGGGGTGAGTGTCTCCGATCGTGACTGGTCACGATTCCATTACACCCCGCGAAAGGCTCCCATACGACCAAGCGTCTCAAATAGCCTCGCTGAATATGCCCTACTAACTATATTCTCGTGGCGGAGGTGTTTCCCACCAAAGTGAGAGGACGAAAAGTCAACGTACGGGGCTATAACCGGGTTGGTGGAGCACTGGTATTCCACCTAGGGGAGTTGGCCAAAAGCCCTGAATCCAAACCAGTCAAGAGGAGGCGTGCGAACCACACACACACATACACACCTTCGCGGTTGTGGCAGTGGTCACCGGTTCGATTGGGTATCGAGGTTTATTTGCACCTTGGACGTTTGGTCCCGTCCAAAGGGCTTAGAATCCGATCAACTGGACACCGGCGCCCAATGGAGTGCGGACTCTGAACTCCGTCCTTTTGTCTTGCAGGTCTGGCCATTTAGCCAAAGGCTTCGGGTGGGGACCCCGAGGTTATCTCCCTTCCTCGGTCAGGGCAACCGGGAAGTAATATGCCCACGCAACCTATGAACGCATTCTACCGATTTCTTTTTGTTCACTTGTTGTGGCACATTTGTCAGTTCTTTGTAATTGGTTACGTGTTGATAAAAAGTACTTCCTGTTGGCATGGGTAGCTTTGGCTTTCGTCACCTAGCTGTCGATACAGTGCCTAGTGTTCTGTTTCATCCCTGACCCGCACATTTTTCAGATTCCCGGATTCTATAACCAAACAATAGTTCATTGCATCAATAGAGTTTATCCCATCCCATTTTAGGTCTATTTCATAGCAATAGAAAACAGATTGTTTTAGGGGTTACTTCATTTTCTGTTATCGAAAACCATTTGATGCATTATTACAATGGGGATGAAACGTGGTGCTAGTCAACAGGTGTAGGCCATCAGTTAATTGTCTCGTTTTTCGTATCTTTATACTCCTATCACCCATCACTCTACTCTCCCGTTTATTGGTTGACAGTTTACGAGGTATCTCAGCTTCGCGTCCTAAAGATTGATTCTTCATTTGTTGCACATGAAACATGTGAAGGTTAACTGATTGCGATTATTAGCTCATTCCAATATAGTGCGCATCCGGACATGTGATTCATACGGATCATTTAATTGCCTAACACTGGTTTGTTTGACCAGTATATACTGTTCACTTTCATACACGCGAAGTTTTTCCTCCGTGGATGTTTCTTCATAAGAAGCTGCAAAGGCGCTAGCGTTCCCCCCTCCCTCTTCCATTTCGGACATTGTCGTAGTTGAGAGAGGTCATCGCGTCATCAGGAAGCAGCTCCTTTTTATCATGTGTTTTGCTGATGAAGCTTCTTTCACATAGTCTTGGTTGATAATATTCGCTGACCATGTCGTTGCTTTTGCAAACGTTTTAACATCGTCACGCGTTAGTCGCATAGATGAAATCCCCCTTGGATGCATAAAATTTGAATGGCTTCGTTGTTTCAGTTTTCTCTTCGCTTCCCACGTTACCGTGAGACGAAACTGAAGAAGTTGAAAGCCGCTTGCTACGCCTGTATACTCTGTGTAGTTCCTTATTCTGATATTTTCCTGTTTTTCTGCTCTTTGTATTTGTCTTCTGTGCTACGTGTCAGTTGATGACCGTATTTCAGGATCCGTTGTTTTGGTTTCTAACACTGTGGGCACACAATCACACAACCGTCTCACCGTTTTCGATGGATGTCTGGAAACTGCTTCAGTGTCACGTAGTGAACTCGATCTGACGGAAAGTGTAATCAACGAAGAAATACCACAGCCACAAACCATACTCCCAACTGCATCCGGTTCGAATTCAACAATGACAGGAACATCTTCAAATGTGTCCGGCCTGAGATGCCAGCGTTCACCGAATAAAGCGGAAGCTCCACCGGCAGCGATTGTGCGGCGAAGTGAAGTGAGCGTTTTGCTTTGACTTCCTGTTCTAGGCTAGGTTCGATTTGTAGCTATCAGGTCCAATTTAAATACTCTTCGAGATAACAGACACCCCCTGTCAATATCTGTTTTTCTCTCCTTTTAGGTGTGTTTTGAACATGCTAAATGGAGAATGACCGAGAGTGACGGTCAAATCGGCCTAGCCGATGTGGAATTACGTGGTTTTGTTTATGCCAAGACTCATCGCGAAGATGATTCCGGTTCCCACTGGCTCGAATTAGGTTGGATTCGTGTTTCCAATCTGGTACCGGATTGCTTTCAACGAGTATGTCATTTACTATCCACCACGATTTGGTTACTTCCGGTGCAGGAATTACTCTCTCGTACCAAAGGGTAAAGGGTCCTTTTGTGTTCGAGATTTGATCGAAATAGGGGATATTAACTGCGCTTTCCTAATTGAACTTAACTCCTTGAATTACTCTTCTCGTAACTGCCGAGTTCGCGTACTATAATTATGTATTGATACCTTCAGTCTTTTTCTTTTTTCCATTGAGCTAACGCACTCCCCCGAAAGATACGGCTGTGAATGGCTTCTATATCTACTCAACCAGTACATGATAACAATATTCTAATTATTTCCTTTCCTAAAGTTGTGTGTGCAAACTGGAACCACTGTCCGATTGGCACAGCATTTGAACGGCTGCATTTATTGACCAGTGGAATGAGTTATATAAAACGGCATAAGGCCTCCGGCCCAGATGAACTGTCCCCATCGGCGTTTAGGAATGGAGGCTTAGCGTTAGTCTTGGAGTTGACGAAACTCCTGGGCTCAATATGGGGAAAAGAACAGGTTTCAACTGAATGGTGTGAATCGGTCATCGTACCGATTTAGAAGAAAGCTGACAAATCCTCTTGTGAAAAACCACAGAGGAATTCGTCTAATCAACATCGTCTCTAAACTTCTCGCTGGCATCATACTCTGTCGATTGTCTGCCGCTGGTGAAGACTGAACACGTGAGCATCAGACTGTTTTTAGACCTGATCGAGGTTGTATCGACCACATATTCACTCTCCACCAAGTTCTCGAGCATCTACATTCTTTTCATAGACCAACGATCTCTGCCTTTCTCGATTTGAAGGCGGCCTTTGACTCAGTCGACTGCTCTTTACTTTGGCACTGCCTTTCCCTGAAGAGTGTGTCCGAGAAGTTCATATCAATATTACGATCCCTTTATACTCATAGCCAAAGTCGAGTCCAAGCTTACGGCACTTTTTCGCCCGAGTTCACCGCGGGAAGTAGCGTCCGTAACGATTGTCCTCTTTCTCCGTTTCTATTTAATTTTGTCATAGATTTAATTCTTGAAACAGCCTTATCCTTGTATCGAATTACTCCCAAACGGTAAACTGTCTGATCTAGAGAACGCAGACGACTGTGCTATGAAATGAAGATCCAGTTAATTTCAAACTTTTCTGTATAATTTGAGTGCTACTGTAGCCGTGTTCGGTATGCGTTTTGCACCTCCAAAGTGTAAAATGTTACTAACTCTAACTGCGGAAGTAATAGAGCAAGTGGATAAGTTTTTTACTTGAGCAGCTACATCTCACGCATGAAGTGTCAGCTCGCATACAGAAGGCTCGGTTGGCATTCGCCAACTTGAAACATCTGTGGCGTCGTCGCGACATCCGGCTGTCTGTGAAGGGTCGAGTGTATGCTGCGGCAGATCGGCCAGTTCTGCTATACGGAGCAGAAACTTGGCCATTAAGAAAACAGGATGAAAATATACTGTCGGTGTTTGAACACCGCTGTCTACGCAGCATTTCACGAATCTGGTGGGGCAGTCGGAAGAGCAATGCTGAGGTCATGCGTAGAGTTTTAGGCCAGCTCAACTGTGCCCGGCGTTCAAGACATCGCTGTTGATTGTGAATGGGCGATCCTTCAGCTTCGCAGATTGTTTCGCTCACACCCGAGGCTTTCTTACCGGTGACCCGAATGAGATGGAACAGCTTACGGGAATTGCCCATGGCAACAGCACGTTCCTTCTCTGATGCGCGTTGAGACCACCAAATCTCGCGGTCTCTGCGTAGGCTTCCATTAAGATCACGTCTCGTTACGAGTCGTGTCTCATTATGCTCACTGCCTGTAGGAATTGACCAATGTGCGTCAAGAAGGCGTAGAGACTCCGCAGAGATCCAGGGTGTCACGGCGCGGTGTGATAGACCAAAACTAACTAAATCAGCAGAATGCAGAGCATTCTCGATAAGCAACCAGTGCTGGTTAACATTATCGGGTGAGGTTGGTTCTAGCGTTTCGACTAGCGCGTTTTGGAAGACAGTTAGACAAGCTGGTTTGGACAGCTTATCACAGTCTACCGTCGTTTTATCGTGTGTTTAGAAGGCCCACCGAAGCACATTGACAGCTTGGCGCATACTAATGCTTGGTCGGATTCGAGGTGAGTGCTCCAGTACGATCGGCAGTCTTCAATGTAGCCCCGCCATTTGTGGCTTATCGCGATGTGGTCGATCTGCGTCCGACGCCGACTGAAGGAGGACGGACGCCAGGTGGCGTACCGGCAGTTGTAGCGTCTGAAGTTCGTACTGGCGAGGAACAGGCGGTGGTCAGAACAGAGAGCCAACAGCCGCTCCCCGTTTTCCGAGCGACAGGAATCTAGTCCAAAAGGACCTCCCAGGTGAGCCTCACTCGAAGTCAATCGGCCTACTCGAGCATTCATATCTCCTGCTAAAATCACGATATCAGCCCGGGTCGCTTTACGCAAGAGGTCGTGAAGATTGTGGAAAATGTCATCTTTGACTGCATCTGGGCTGCAGTTAGTTGGAGCGTACGCCGATATGACAAACAATTTTCGTCTATCGTGGCGATGGCTGCTTATCTTGTACGAACCTCTGAGTCTCACTACGTACAACCTACTGCCGACTGGGATCCAGTCCAGGAGGGCGGCTTTAGCTCTCTCACTGAGAGCCACGCCGACCCCAGCAAGACCGGAAACCACAGCCTCGGGGTCTCCAGAGAGGCGTAAGTGAAACTTCGCTGATGGGTTTGACAGGGACGTCAATCGGAGCTGGAGTCTTGAATGCGAGTTTCGTGGTTGCAACACATTATCGATTGCTAGGGGCTCGAGCGTACGAGCTAAACACGCCTGTTGTCCTATACGCATCAGAGTACGCTAGTTTGAAGGGGCATAGAGGGCGAAGATGGGCTTCAGCTGGTGGAGGATTCGGCGAGACTTGGATGCTAGTCGAGGTAGGACAAGATTGAACAGTGACAGAATTTCCGAGGCACTACTGTTGGTACGATCGTCTGAAGCCCCCTGAGAGAGATGGAGGAGTGTTGGGGAGGTAGAGGTGAGCTGGGGGGAGGCTGGGAGAACTAAAGGGTGTGTACGGTGTAGAATGTTTTGCGCAGGATGAGAAAGCATCAGAGTACATAGTCGTGAGAGCAAGGTTCATGGGTTATATGCGTTGAGGGCTATTGCACTACTCGGTCGCCCGGTCCAGAGTAGGCCTTGTTCGAGGATGCACTCTAGCCTTTGCGCAACCAAGCGCGGACTGCAAGGCAGTAGTAATTTCCCAGATGAGCCGGTGGCCAAACTTCGGTTCATTCGCCTCTTCTGGAAAACCTTGTCGAGCAAAGGATCCCGATAAGGAGCAATGGCCATATTTAGTGGCGGGTCACACTCGCCACGTCACAATGCTGTCCGCAGATAGTTGTGGTGTTGCCAGGAGGTAAGCCCACCACATCCACGAGCGTTTGCGCTGATTGTCCGCGACCGCTTATTCGGAGGGCTGAATTCTTCTTTATTCGCGGTTGGCCACGAGATGACGGCCGTTCTTTTACTCTCGACCCGGGGACGCGCTCCGTAGCATACAGCGCTGCTATCCGGGAACTGTCGCACCTCTAGTACCACAAACTCATTGTGCACAAACATTTGACGCATTCGAAGGGCTTATCTACAAGTGAGTATTGCACGAAATCAGACGGCACATGAATAAACAATGGTTAACCATGGGTACATGAGGTGGCACCCGATGTCATACGATTTAATTTGGTAGAGAAATGTGTGCATGGAGCACACAACGCACGGTGGTCAACAACGCGTTCGCAACTATACGTACTGCGGTTTGGGTTGAAATCGAATAAGTTCATTCATAGCCAATGCTTGGGTTTGTTAAAGTCTAATACCCACTTCACTTGACTGTTTGCAAATAGGAAACCCAGCTTTTGCTGCAAACAGGTATAATTGCAGTAAGCATCTTGAATCTCCACCATTGTGAAATTTGAACTCTGTGAAATAAGGTAAGTCATTGGCAACCTAACTTCTTACGACTTCACAGTAGGATAGGCATATTGTTGGATCAAAGAATAGTGAAACTGTCTTCGCCGTAAGCCAGTTGGTGAATTGAAACCATTTCGGTCGCTATGATCCGTAAATACCAGATGCCATGAAAGGAAATTCCAACTATCTAAACCAGAAATCCTCAGCAATCATGGCCTCGGACAACTAAAATGAGAACACAGCGACCGAGCAAACATGATGACAATACAGACAAGTAAACATACCAAAGGCGGTATCAGATGCGGTGCGGGCAGTTTAGCTGGATCGACCGGTTCATAATGTACATAGAACACTTGACAGGAACAGCGTGAAATCATACGTTGCAGTTGTATGGATGGCGTCGCCGTGAGAAGTGCACTGTGGGCATGACCCATAGAGGATTTTCCACCTATCCCGATCGGGATTGTCTGCTGGGCACCCGAGACTCGTACTGCCCCCATCGGTGCAGCTGTCACCGGAGTGACATAAGCTGCATTCACCACCCCACCTACTGACCGGCCACAGCCGACCACTTCAGGACGACCAGATAGGGCATCTTCGTCAGCTGACGGATTGAGATGAGCCCAATCGCTCACATCCGCCGTGGAGAGCCACTGATCGGCATAACTGGGTAACAACTAAATACGGAAAGTGAGAGACAGACAAGTAAGTGAAATAATGCAACAAATTTAACAGATTATTAAGCTATCCCTTTAGCCAGAGTGTGTCCCATATAAATTGCTCATTACACAACAATAAGTGGGTGGGTGTTATACTTGCTAGGTAATAGGATACCTTTGTGGGCGTTATAAAAAAGTTTGATCTGGTCGAAACCGTAAAATAAACAGAAAGGTGACAGCCGATTCTATAGGCAGTTTGATAGAGGCGGAACACATCGCATCATCCAGTAAAGAACAGGAACCCACATCATGTTTAGGTTGTCAACATCATAGTAATGAATCGATGGCGTTTCATTCCTTAAGAACAAGATCGAATTTGTCACATTGGCTTTACTTGGGCGGTTGGGGTCGACAAGTGAACGATGCCTCTGAATTTTTTTTCAGGCATCGAGGCGAAACAACTCGGAAAATAAATCAAACAGTTCTGTGATTCTATAGAATCACAGGACTGTTCGATTTATTTCCCGATCGTTCGAAGAACGGTATTTAAAATGGATTACAACAGAATCACAAACATCCAAGTAATTCCGATTCACGATCACAGTGATTGTTATCCTCGAGGAGGAAGGAATTTCATCGCACTATTCCGCATTCACTGTCGCTATTTATTTTGTTCAGTACTCTGTTGTATTGCAACCACTAGTACCAACAACTATGCATACATTAAAAACCCGGGAATAAAATGGATAAAAAAGTCGCATCTAAACAAAAGATCATCTATGTAAGTAAATCGTTTAGGGCCTTCTTCTCGTTAGTTGGAATACCAGCCAAATAGGGCAGTATTGAATAACGATAAATGGGATAACGATTAAGAGTCAAAAAAGATGTAGTATACGTAACGTAAAACTCCGATCTAAATGACTTTGGTAATGAGTCAATAACGTACTTATGTACACATCCAGATATGGTATTCTTCATGCAACAGTTCAACCTGTTTATTAGGCTTAGACAGCTGACTGAGAGCATGGGACAGTGACGACCAATATCAATTCTGCCCAATACTGTTAATTATTTTATTGACAGGAAGAGAATGTTTTCGATTTTAGAATATCAAGCTTGGATTATTCCATTAGATTGTTCTTGATGGTCTTGGGGGTGGGTTTCATTCCTTGGGAGATCGCTAATTCGACTGTGTAGCTCAGGGGTAAGGGTTTGAAGTCCAGAACCGAGTGTTCGCGGTTCGAGTACTAACGGGGACACAAAACGTACGCACTGCTGACGAGTCCCAAACAGGACGAAACAGCTGTCCATTGCTTTTGTTGGTTATCACAAACATTTCCGTCGCCTTTTTAATATTTCCGATATTTAAAAAGAACAATTAGTCGTCGAACGATAAGTAACGCAGTCTACTAATATAGGCTTGCGCATGAGAAGACCACCGTAGATTGCTCTATAGGATGACTCCTGGTGATGTGTGTTCTGGTAATGAGTACGGAAGTGGTGACTAGGGGTTCAAAGGGATACACAGACCAGTAAAACCTCAAAACGCATTTTCTATCACACACGCACTTTGTGTGGTGAGTCGCGTAGACCTGCTGTTTCAGCCTCGAAACGAACCACATAATGCTCCCGCTAGGTGAGGCGTGATATTCAACCGGACAATACCGATAACGAGTTCTCATCATCCTAGTTATCGTACGGCGAAATACGGCTAAGTAAATTTTGCTGCTCGACGCTCAACTCTCAATATACACAAGATAACTACGAATCTGTAAGGTGGACCTATTTTAAAGCAAATAAAAGGTCAGAAATTTACTGTGCATACACAAATTTCACACGGTAGCGAAAAAGCGCATTTGCGATGATTCATCTCAACACTAGTAGATCACGATTTACGTCGAAAATGACAAATGGGAAAAGAAATAATCACTATTCCAGTTCCATATTCAATTGTGGCTCATACTTTGATCGCCAAACAAGCAGATTGGTTCAGGTGATTAGGAGAGAGTGAAAGCATGTATGTGTCCTGTGTGGTGCTGGCCATGGAGGACCGAGTGTTTTACGCATTGTCTTGGAGAGCATGGGGGGTGATGTAGTCCGATTCCGATCGCCTCCACTTAGTAAGGTTTACCGCACATTTAAAAAATTCTTTGGTCGATTATGGGAAACGAGGTTTCGACAAACAAACCGCACAACAATGGCGTCATTGAGTTCTATTCTGATCCATATCTGAACGTCTCTAACCATCCGCAGCTATTATCCCTCGGACCCCAGTCTGAAAGCAAGCAGCGCGGACCGAAGTCAAAGTCGAGGCTATCGTGCTCGTCGGTGTCTACTCTCCCAATCAAGGAGGTGCAGTCATACGGAATGTAAAATCATCATATAGGGATAAGAACACGAAGCAGTTCCGCAGATAAAGTGAACTAGCTTAAACCATCAAACATGCTATCTGAAGCTAATAGCCTTGGTGAAATGGAGTCGTGAAAAGAAAATCACTCTCCAGAGTGAGGTCGATTGGATTGAATCGACTGAGGGAATCAGTAATGAAAGGGCTGGATACTTACGCAGACTAACGATTTTCGCAGTAGTCATGCAGTAGAGGTCAACAAAGTGTCGCCGTGGGAGACGTATATTCCAATCAAATCACCAACAACAGCATTAATTTTTCCCAATTTCCGTGCGTTTTATGGTCGCTTCCCCCATCCTACGATTCGTGTCATCACACATTTAATCAAGAAAATAAATTCAAGTTCATTTTTTTATTATGGGTAAATTACAAAGCTGATAGTTATTGAAACACCAGAGGATCTGTGCACACTGGGTTCGGTGGCTAGTACAATTAAATACCAGATTACAACGTTCAATCACCGGTGCTGAGAGGGTAAGTGTTTCAATGCTTCATCGAGCCG